CAAGTCGTTTTCTTGCAAAACCTACAAATGCACACTGGCAAATGGTCAAGCGTATAATGCGTTATGTTAAACATACATTAGATTATGGTTTGTGTTATAAATCAGATGATAATTCATTTTTGAGTGTCTACAGCGATTCGGATTATGCCGGCGACATTCAAACACGAAGATCTACTTCGGGACATTTATTTGCTGCGGAACCTTGTACAATAGGGTGGAATTCACAACGTCAAGCATCAGTTACTCTGAGTTCAACTGAATCTGAGTTCGTCGCCAGTTGCGAATCGATAAGAAGTTTAATTTGGTTTAAAAGGTTGTTAACTGAATTAACTAATGAAAAGGGATTGTATAAACCTATTTTGTATATAGATAATCAAAGTACTATTCGTTTGATTAGGAATGCAGTTTTTCACAAGAGGTCAAAACATATTGATGTTCGTTATCATTTCATTCGGGAGAAGTTTGAAGAAGGTGTATTTGAATTGCAGTACAAAGAAACAGAAAACCAACTAGCTGACATCTTCACGAAGCCATTAGCCAAGGACAGACTTGAAAAGTTACAGTCAATCATAGGCGTGAAGAGGATCACAGAAGATTAATATAGTGTTAAGAAAATATTAATTAAGGGGGTGTGTTGGAATAATAATTAATATTCTATATATCAGGAAGTATTTCACAATATATAAATATGTTGTTTATCTGTATAATAAAAATACGTAGTTGTTAACCAGGAAATGTTATAGAAAAACAAAGTTGTTTTTGTAAGCACACGTGTATCTGTAGACGCGTGCAACCTTGTGGGTTAATATAAATAGCATTTGATCTAAGGGCTCGGGGCTCAGTATTTATATTCAGTTTATACATATTACTAGTGTATTATTGTTTCACTGTGTTGTATATATTCTATGTATAATATATCTATTATTGTAATAACTTTATTTGTGTCGAATACATGATTATCATCACTACTCGCACTCTGATACTATATGTATGTATAGTATTACAACATGTGCTTGTACAAAACCACTCAACAGGAAACGGAAGATGCGATATCAACACGAGTACCACGGAAGCCATGGGAAGTCCTGAGCATTGACCTTATGGGGCCTTACCCCCGATCAGCTCGGGGTAAAACGTTTATACTCGTCGTAACGGATTGCTTTAGCCGATGGGTAGAGGCTTTCCCCATTGGAACCGCAACAACTCGGGTGATTATAGACGCGTTGGACCGCGAGGTATTTCCACGTTTTGGGTTCCCCCGCGTACTACTATCAGACAACGGCCCCCAATTTGTGTCAAAGGCAATGAAACAGGCGCTGAACCACTGGGGAACAGAAGGGTGGACCACTCCGGTCTACCACCCACGAGCAAACCCAGTGGAGAGACGGAACCAGGAGCTAAAAAAAGGTCTGCGAGCTCAGCTGCGCGATAAACCACATCGTCTATGGTATACGTGTTTACCCTCTATACTGTTCGCGATACGGAATCGAAGAAACTTGAAAACTGGCTATACCCCCTCTCAGCTAGTTCTAGGAAGGGAAGCCAAAGCGCCGGGTGACTGGATCCTATTAGGATCCAGAATCGAATTACCCGTAGAAGCCGAACTTAGGAGGAAACGCGCTAGGGTAGTGGTAGGGACCCCTAATGACAAACAGGTAGGGAAAACCCTAGACAGGTTCTCGATAGGAGATTGGGTTTACTACCGCAGTCACCCACTCTCAAACGCAGCAAAGGGATTTCACGCGGGGTTTGCGTCTAAGTGGATAGGACCAGTGAGACTGGGAAGTTCCTTGGGGAATGGTGTTTTCTCCACGGAAACTAAGCCGGTCATAAAAGTTCACTGCTCCGCACTAAAACCCGCTTATGTGACCAATTACCCTACGCTAATTTCAGATGTCGCAACCCCCAGTGAAACGGGTACGAGAAGAAGGCGGCCGAAGCGACAAGCGCTTTCGCCCTCCGGCGACAACCGTCAAATCCGTGGTCCACCAGATGGAGGGGTAGATAAAGGGTCACCAGGGCGCCATCGCGGGCCTGCAGGTGGCCATCCGCCGGATGAGAGTATCTGAGGAAAGGAGCGAGGAGGGGTCATTTCCGAACCCCCCAAAGAAGCCGGTGGTCGATACGTCTACTCAGACGTATCTACCACCGGTGATAACCTTGGAGTGGGCGAAGAAGGCGACCCTCTCTGAAATACGGGACGATCCGGTGGCTCGCGAACTACACCATCGAGGATGGTTAATGGACACCCGGACAAAGGAGAGATCACGACCCGGAAAGTCTGGAGTGACCTCACAGGTAAGGAAATGTAATGGTAAGGCTGCTTTTAGGGCTAGCGAGGTAAGCTCAACACCCGACACAGCTGGAATGCCCCCCCTAGTACGCCTAAGACCAGAGGCCCCAGGTAAGGTAGACCGAAAACCGGCGCCGAGAGCGCTGGGACGGCCTAGCCAGGTTCAGGTAGGGACGAGAGGAAGGATGGGAGCCGATACAGGTAAGACCGTCCGTACCCACTCGGCCCCACCCCCCAAGAAAGTGGCCACGCCACCGGAAAATAATTACTTCCGGAGGCCCCACTCAACAACAAGGCCGTTAACTGCCCCGGGGACCAGTACCTCTCCAAAAATCGTTACCCGGAATGCGTACCATGCGCAACTGGAACGTGAGGAGGAACGGCGACTGCGTCACTGCAAGCCGCGGAACGTCCCGTTCACAGCGGCAACAGCGGCGATGACGGCAACAGCAGCGACGACGACGACAGCAGCGACGGCGACGGCAGCGGCCACAGCAGTGGCAACGATCGACCTCACACTCGATGTCTCCGACGAATCGGGAACGAGGGAGGTGGCAATGGAGGTGGACCCCGACGACACGCTCCAACTAGCCGTCGGGCAGTTGGACCTCATGGACGATATCCTCGGAGCCCAAAACTACGACCTGCCGGATGTGGAGTTCCTCCAGGACCTCTACTACACGCCGTTGACGTCACCCGAGCCCGTTCAGCGCTAGCCGTCTGAGTAAGCTGCCTTGGGGATGCTTAATGGGCCATTGGAGGGGGGGGAGAATGACACGGTCGGGTATTGCCATCACCGCGGTCTGGACTATTACCCGGACCACGATGACAATACCCGGCCGGGTCGTGCTTCCCTAATTGCCCATTAATCAAAACCCCGGCGCAGCTTATCAGCAATGTTGACCGGCGCCGGTAACATAAATACGGCCGTCACCGGACCGCCGATTATCAGTAGTATTATTATTGTCCAGCAGTATTATTATTGTCGAGTAGTATTATAAACGAGTAGAATAAACGGTGACGAAAGTAAAAAGTTGTTGTTATTTTAAAGTGTTTAATCACTCCTAAGTGTTTAATTACTCCGAACGTTTACGGCCACGACAACATACAATAATATTACTATAGTAACATGCATTATGATATATGTCATATTTGAGACATCCTATAGATTCGGCTGTATCAAATAAATACAAAATTATGTGAAAATATGTACAGGGTTGCATATACTGTGATACAAAGTAGATGTATTACTGTGTAATATAGGAAAATTTCGCTTTACCCTATAGTTTCGGAGATGTCAAACGAATTGCAAAATTATTGTTTGAGCAAAACTTGCAATGTTGCCCCTAACTTCAGTTTAGTTAAAATTGATGAGATTAACAAAAAATATGATATAAGTACAAGCTGAAAATGGCTTTTTGGTCATTCGTTCGCCGAATCTTCAGTCCACAAAGTCAACAAGCTCTCTGCAGTCTACAAACCATATACAACTCGCCATACAAAAAACGTATGTATTCAGTTGTATTATTATTTAACAAGTTATAAAAATAAATCATTTAATTTTTCAATTTAAATATTAAAGTAATACTTTTAAAATTATAACTAATTATACAACTTTTATATAACCACTGTAAAACTTTGTTAAGTCAAAAAAACAATTGCTTTTTTAAATAATTTTGTATTTTTTACTGTACTATATCACTGGATAGTACTCTTCAGGAGTGCTTAAATTGTATATGTTGGTGATATACTATTTCCATCTACTAGCAATGTCTTCGTTGTCCATTAGTAGATTTCCATTTGTGTCTCATATTGTGATGTTAGCCTTTGTTTGTCAACTACAATATACCATGTAGATGAAAATATTTGTTTCTTGAATGGAAGCTGAACCGTTGAAACTTAACACATGACGTCACCGCTGCCCATTTTTAGTCCAACTAGTGGAAACTGGAGAAATGTTGATGCTTAATTTGTATGTATTATTATAATTTGTTGTTGCTATACCTGGTTGACTAAATTGTAGGTAGCTGCCTTGTGTTGATGCACGTCTTGATTGTATACTTTAAAAAACCAAAGAAAAATGAATTCAAGAAAACTGTACCATTTTCTGATGTCCCGTTGTTTTTGTTTGTGGTTAGACACAGTTGCCGCACGAGGACGGCACGGCGGCCGCACGAGTCTGATGTTAGGTGTGAGCGCCTATCACCAGATGTTCGTAACATCAGACTCGTGCGGCAACACCTATATCACATACGTTGAATACACGCTTCACGCTCATACGGACAAAGAACCTCGAGACGGACAAGAGACTGTTGCCGTGTACCTAATGTACACACATTAAGGCAGACCATAGACAGAGACGAAGGGAAAATGACTCCTTGCGAGGGAAATTGAAATTATTGAACTTTGTGTCTGATCGAATCTGCCAATGACATAAAGGCCAGACACGGCTTTTGTTCTTGTACAGCGTGTACAAGAACTCGGTACATGGTATATGGGGCGGTAACCAATCCGTCCGACAAAGCGCGTCTTTGTAGCAGCCGCAGGAGCCATCGGCCAAGAATCATAAATTTATTATACCTTTGCTGATTTACCTGTTCGCCATTCGGTTATGTGCAACTGTACAAAAGTATAATATTATATTGTTATTTTATATCTTATATTGTTAATTTTACCTTTATTCTGTGTTCACTACACACTTACAATAATGTCATCTAATCGTGGTGCACTCCAGCCTCCTCATGCAGCTATTAAACAGGTAATTATATTTTAATTTTTAAAAATTAGTTTGAAAAAAATTAGAATTATTTATGCAATAAAATAGATTTGTAGGTAAGTAGGTACATTGTTACCTACTAATTTACATATAAATATGCAAGACGCAAGTATAGTAAATTAATTTATTATATTATAATATGAATAGGTAATAATTATTACAATAATACAATAACACAATAATTATTAACCTATCTATTTTTATAGCATATTATAATGATTTATACATATTAGAATACAATCAAAATTTAACTAATATTTATATTTCAAGAGTACATGGTTATAAATATAATAAATCCACTTATTTACAAACAGAGATAAATACATTTTAACTTTCGGAGCTAGATTAATCATTCATGTGAATTAACATGAAAACTGATAGTTTACTAGAAAAGAACATACATTAATTTTTTTCTAATAATATTAAAATGTAAAAGTTTATCATAATAGTAATTTACTAACATTTTTAGAATATAAAGTAAAATAGTACAGGTAATGTGGGTTAAATATGTTCGTGGACGTTTAACAGTCCTTGGAATTATTTTACTTTATACTTTATACGGATTTAAGTTCAATTACAATTAAATATTCAAATATACAATAAACAAATAATCTATACAATAATTAATTAATCTTAACATTTTTTAAACATTTAACTTTAGACTACTTTTAAATTCATATAAACGATTTACAAAAGGCTCTATAATACATTTATTTTCTAATTTTAACATACGATTGGTGAGTTAGACATTGAAAAAGTGGTAGTAGTGTTGGGGTAGAACAAATCGGTAATATGTTTTTTCCAGTTTTTTTAAATTAATAAATATCAATTTAGTTTACTATTAACCTTTGGACTATGTAGTACAAACAAAATAAGGTATAAATCTTTAACAGTTTTTGATTATAATTTAAAAATATTTTAGAAAATATGAAAAGTCCTACATAATACAATATTAAAATATGCCTCAATATATGTATTTTAATATTTAGTAAGATTGAATTATTTGCGAAAATTCTTTTTACAACATTTGAGTACCATTTTTTTTAAGTACCAACGCAATTAAAAAAAAATAAAAAACCCACCTATTTAATATCATACTTAATATTTTGGGCTTCTTTCATAAGTTACTTTTGAGTTCTTTACAATCATTTATTAGGCATACTTTCATTGTTATAGAGATCAAGCAGAAAACGCTGGGTAATTGTTACTTTCCCCGAAGGTAATGATTATTCTGTGATAACAACGAATTGGGTGCTAAAAAGCGTAGATGGTCTAGGGAATAAAGTTATAAAATGTTTATGGGCACCCTTTTCTAATGTGACAAGCGACATAATTCAAAACGCAATGGAGCCATCTGATAACTGGAGCACTCATACAATTAAACTACAAGAAAATGGCAAAGAATATAGTATGTACCTGCCTATAATATAGCCGTACCTTTAGTATTGAAAAATAACTTACTAATAATATTTACCGATGTACTTAATTTTATTATTTTTACATTAACAAAAATTATTCTTTTAGGTTGTTTTAACAAGGCTTGGCATAAGCAGGTAGAAATGTCTGAAGAATCTTCAACTGAACAGAGTAAGAGGAGTAAAATTAATGAAGAATCTTCAGATTCTGATGGTGGAAGCGAAGAAGGTAATAAATAAACTTATCTTGTAATAATTGAACACAGGGAAGAAAGTAGTAGTCCATTTATGACAATTTTTCAGGAGAGCAAAAACAAAGTTAGTTTGCGCGTACAAATCCATTTATCAACAGTTTTTTAATGGCTAAGTTGGTCCCACTGTAACCTCTTTTTCATCAAATAGTTTTTAACATTTAATAGTAGCCCCAATACTATTATAAAATAATAATACTGCCTTTCTTCCCCTGTCTCCTTTAATTATTATTAGATATCATATGTATAAATATATATAGGTGTATATTATACCAATTACATGTAACATAAATACTATTCACATTATTTTATTTAACGAAAAGCTAGTATTACTATACTTATATATCTGCTTATACAGAGTGATCCTTTTATCTTGAATATATATATATATATATATATATATATATAAGTTTTATAAAATTATAAATACTATTTTTATTGTAGAAATCGACATTTTGCCAGTAAAAAAATGGGATCGTCCACAAGAAACTTTTATAAAATAAGCTACTAATAAACCTCATTATGCAGAGCTGAACAATTTTAACATTAGTCAGTCTTCAACTACGCAGAATGTATTGTTAAACACCTCAATAAGCCATAGCTTTTAACAAACCTGAGGTAAATATAATTTTTGCCTACTAAATTAATAGAGCTGATAAAAGTTTAATATTCTGCATATTAAAAAAAAATGATATTTAAATAATTTTAAATTGAGATTTTATAGTTATTGTTTTGTGGGTTTTTAACTGTTTGGATTAATCTTAGTTGAATACTATATGTTTCAATGTAATTAAATGTTTGATAAGTTGATAGACTTAACAAATATATAGTCTAATAGGTAGTCTTTAAAAATAGTCATTATATTTTATCTATGGATTTTAGTAGTTTCCTATCAAAATTGTTTATAAGTTGTATGTTTGTTGTAAATTTTTAGGGGAGAATATTGTCATCTGTTATTCAATCTGATTCATCATTTCAAGATGAATTGATTTCTGTGCCTAATTATTTAACTTCAACAAATAATGTAGAAACGATTCAATCAGGTATAATATATTACCACACATAAATTATATATTCTAAATTATGTAAGTAGGTATATTGCAAACTTCCATATGACTTCTATTATATTGACAATTATAGAACTTATTCAAACAAATAAACAGAATAAAATGATGGGACTTTTGAATTTAATTTATAAAGAGCAAATTCAAAATCGGGTTTTATACGACCGGTTGTTATCTAAAGTTAATAATATTGAAACAATTATAAACAAAATTGGACTAAGTAATAATATTTCAACTGCAACACATAACTTCGATGAGAATTTTTTGTTAAACTGGCCTATCATTAACGAACAAACATTTAAACACGTTGAAAACAGTTTATTAGATAATTTATTTGTTCAACAAATGGTACGTACATTGTAATATTACTTATAAAACAATTTTAATTTTTTTAAAACCAAAATATTATTTATACAATATTTTCAAATTTTAGGAAGAGTTTTTTTTAATTCTATTGGTGGCAATTCGGTTAAAGACAATCTAAAAAGAATATTAATTAAAATGTTTAGTGATGAGTTAGCGATACGTTGCTCGTGGACTGGTAGAGGAAAAGATATTACTACGAAATTATGCGATGCAAAAATAGTAACCGTATTAAAAAGTAAATTTAAATTTAAATTGTCCTTTTTCACATTCATGAATCCTAATGTTTGCTAACTTATAATTTAAATAGGGTGTATAAGAAAAAATCAGAAAGAATACAGTGACGCATTATTTGAATCTGTGTTTGCTGATTGGTTCAGATATGCTACAACAAGACATAGAAGATCATTAGAAACTAATCATTAGATATATAATAATGAATTTTATTTTTTAAAAGGATAAAAGTAGTTTTTTTTTTAAATATATATATATATATATATTATAAAATTGTAAGAAGAGTTTACGTCATATATAATAAATGCTTTAAAATCTCTAAAGCGTTGAAAAACCATCGCTGAAATATTCCATTGCACAGTGGGACGGCTACAAACAAGGAATTTCGTTTTTGCTTTGTTTATTTTCATATTGTATTCATTTTTCATAGTTTAGTTCAATATTTCTAAGATATTCTGTAGATCCTCTTCATTGTCTGTTATTACCGCTATCTCATCTGAAAATCTTAGCATATCTATTCTTTTACCTTTTATTCTTATCCCTATTTCTTCAGTTTCTTCTCTTACTTTATTTATCGCTTCTTGTACATACAGGTTAAAAAGGGACGGAGACAGTGTGCATCCCTGCCTCACTCCTTTCCTAATTTTTGCTTCTTCCTGGCTATTTCCACATCGTACCACGTAAAAAATGTTAAATAGAATATTTTTAAAAAATAATTACAATTAGAATAAATGTAATTAATTTTATATTATAAATATTGGTATACTTTAAAATTTGTTTTTTTTATGTTTCAAGAGAAAAAACACTGCATATTCAATTACAGTTCCAGTTGTACAAATAAAAAAAAAAATCGTATGTAAATTATTATTTATTTTTAAAATTTAAAAAAAAATGTGTTTACCCTTTGAATACACATTTTTTTTTTGAAATGCAAATTCTCATTAATTATTTATCTCGTTCAACTACAGTAAATTTGAACAAATAATAATAATGGATTATTTTGATCACGAATATGAAATTGTAGATAGCAGTATTTTGTTTATACGACTAATAATGCTCAACTAAATTTTATTAGAAACAACTATAGATTTTTTTTTTAAAAATACTATGACAGAACCTGATATAATCAATATTTTCGGCGAAAAAAATATTCTTGTATTTAACTTTATAAATATTAAGTACGAAAATGACGAAGATGATATGTTTGTTTGTAGCAAGTCATGTCATGATGTACTTAAATATCACAATCTTAATAATATTCCAATTTCATGTAAAGTAGTACAATCTTGTAGGGTTGTAATACACAGGTCGTTAATGTATTATATAATTAATGTTAATCCGGCTCACATACCTTGTGGGACATGTAAAAAACAATTTTTCTCGTGGAGTGTAGAAACATAAAAAAAAATTAATAATAATTATAATTACTACCACACAAGATTGTACTATAAAATATATATATATATATTGTAATTAATTATTGAAAAAAAACTTACTTTCAGTTAAAAATTTTATTAGATTATACTATGATATTTCTATCGGGAACATCAGGAGCAGCAGCGGTTGTACCAGGATCGTATGCCAAAGAAGCCGTCGTCGGCTTAAAGCGAATCAATCGCTCACGGTCCACCAAATGGATCAATCGTCGATTACCTAAGCAGAACAGTCGTCCTCGTCGTCGTAGTCAATCACTAACACAAAAGAGTATTATATTTTTGAAACGTTTTGGTTGCCGTATCCTCACTACTTCATCAAAAATAGCTGACTATTTAAACGTATTGGAAAATATCATTACGACGACAGTATCAAACGAGAATACTATCTGGAGCATCAGAGTTTCAACAATGCGTACAAGAACAACGATGAGATTCGCATCGAAGTGCGCAACAAGGAAAAGTTTACGGTGCCGGGAGAGAGTTATCTACAAATTGAAGGATATTTAGACAAACCCACGGCGGCCTCGGGCGAAATGATGTTCACACAGAACGGTCTCATGCATTTGTTTGACGAGATACGGTAGGTTAGTAGGTATATGGTAAAAAATCCATGCAAATTGTGAAGATCTTATTAACCAAAACAACCTTAGATAGAACAGTCACTTCTATTCACGATACTACTCAACCAATATGCTTATGAAACTTAGACTCTCATCACAATTCTCAACTCAGCTATGCATAGCAGAATACATAGCACGATTCTACCACCATAGAAATTACTACGCGAACTATGGGAAATTCAGCTGACCCTTCCAACAGGCACTCAATTACCTCTTACGCCTAGTAAACAGAATATTCAAAATGTTTTCCAAATCCCAACTACAACGGGCCTAACTAAAGATAGTTTCCTTTTATTCTTACTCACTTTTCCAAAGCGACGATTGACGAATATACTCTTCATCGACCTGTTTCCGCTGAGCGACGATAGCGAGTTTTTTTTACTTAAACCACCGTTCAACGCGAAGCGTTTTTAGGTTTAAATTAATTTACATTATGTTAGGGAAACTTGCCAATTCAACGCAGAGCGTCATTCAAATTTTGAGAAATTGTATTATTAAAATCTCCGCAAACCATCCCTAACTCATGTAATCTTAAATTTACGTATATCATTTGATTTCACAATTTAGAACCGTTTATCAATCAGATTCTAGGTTTACTGTATGCGATTTGAATTAATAACTTTAAATTGTAAAAACCCCTCACGAACTTTTAATTTTATATAACCGGCACTGGTAGAATGATGATATCTTCATCATGTACTATACATACAGACAATACAATATTGTTTCCGACCCGTAATGAATTTATCAATACGACCCTCGATGTTATCCTAGAAACTTTTTCTTTCGATATGTAACAACGACCTCAAATCTTGTACAAACTCAGAGCCTTAGTCATGTACGCGTATCTAACGATCTCTGTCAAATCAGTAAGAAATCTCATAACTCAGACTATTTATAACGTGACGGCATGAGAAAGGTCGTCGACCACTGCACCGCATACGCGCGCGATAATCGGCGTTTCCCTCCTTCCCGTGCCCTCCACTCTGAGTTTTATCATGTTCCGTTATTATGTGGTATAACTTATATTTACTGTTGTGTTGTTGTTGAAAATTGCATGCTTATGTGCTGGGCCACACACACTTTTTTTTCGTTTCTAAAACGTACAATAATTGAAATTGTACTTTTCTTTTCTCTGTTCACCTGTTTTTTTTGTTGCCATTACGGCAACGATCCATAATAAATATACATTAATGTATACATAACATTAATGGTGTGTAGGAACTCTCCTTTTGAGTTGTATATAATTACTTGATAATTAAAATATAACAATATTATATTTAGATAAAAGTCTATAAACAATGTTGCTTCATTAAAAAAAGTTCATCATCAATAAGTAAACAAAATATTTAAAATTGAATAAAAAATAGATTCAATGTTGTCATTACACTAAAATAAATGGAAATCATAAGTTTAAAAACTACTTAAAATCATTTAAAATATAAGCTTTTTCATAAAATAAATTGCATAGAACCTACTTAATATAATAAGAATAATAATGTAACAATTTAAATAGGTAATATAATAAATACTTGTATAGTAATAATTGAGATCATGTTTTACTAGTGTTGATTGTTAATTGTTATTAATCATCCTCATCAGTTTCAGGTAACTGATCAACTGTTGTACTTTTAAAAGGAAGACTTAAATATTCTTCATGGTAAATTTCTGGAATAGATTTTTTCACATAATTTTCTTAAGTCTTTTTACTTGGATGCTGAAATGGGAAGTTTTGATGTATATAGTTGTTTAAGTTTTAAAATATTAATTAATACTGAAGTTGAAGATCTCAATCTATTCTGATTATTAATGTTCACAGTTAGAAGCTCTAAATCATTGTCTTCATTAATTTTAAATGTATAAGCTATTTTAAAAACATCCAAGTCTTGTTTGGAAAACTCAACTCTTCTTATTGACTTGAACCTAACATTTTCATTATTGGCATCTTTCAATTTTAGTTCCTTAAACATTGCACTTGATGTAGGACTCCAGTCCAAAAAATCAGAGTGTTTAAAAATTTTAGTGTTATAAGGACCTGCATTTATTCTGGAATTTCTTATAATAGTAGACCATTCAGATGGAGACCAGATAGTCTTTTTTTAAATATTTTTGTCTATGCATGCATGCACAGAATCCACTGGCATGTATGTATGACCAGGTAATAAATAATTGATGGTTAAACATTTTATATTTTTTTGAACTGGTACAATCATTTCATGTTGTCACATGAAATGATTTTTATTTTGACCAGGGCAACTATCTCAATAAAGAGCAATTTCTTGGATCAGACCTTTATCATCAATACTTTTTAAATAATCATATAAAATAGAATAAATTTCATTAGCCCCTCGCTTACCGTCAACTTCCGACCATAAGTAACAGTGACCAGCTTTGGTTTTACTTTCATAAATGCTTAAATTATAGTAAGCCAGTTTCCTCGAGTAAAATAATAACATGCTGTTACCCCATGGTGTATTTAGCACCCTTTGCAAATCAAAAGAACAACAAAGAAATCCATTTTGGCCACTTCTTTCCTGGTCTCTCATAAACATTTTATTTGTATACTCCTTTTCTTCTATATGCAATTGATAATTTTTTTTATCATCTTCACTTTCATTTTGAATGCTATTCTTAAATGACTCACAGAATGTACACTTGTCCTTTTTTGGAACATGAATACCAATATTGTATTCTGTGTTCCACCTCTTTTTAAAAACACCACTAGTAACAGGTAAAACATTATTCAATTTACAATCTTCTTTATAAACCCTGTATACATTTTCTAAACTTTGGAAATCATTTGTTATATATTTTTATTGCTTGAACTTCTACAGTAATGTGATGGAACGGCTGGCAACTTTTCTATAAATTTATCAACATATTCCATTTGGTTATGAGGAGTTTTATTTTTTGACGGTTGTCTACCTCTATTATCAGATTTAGCAGAAAGTAAGTCAGACTTGTTATCCCGAGTGTACCTAAGCAGCTTTTCAGATATATTCAATGTGTTCAGTATAAATTGTCTACAAACTTTTACTTGCACATTGTCAATAACAATAGAGTAACTATAAGTACACTATAAGTGCATGAACGATTATTGACATGGGAGACATAATTCCTTTTGACATTTTGCATA